AGTGCGTGTTTGGCGCTGTCCGCAGGGCTTAGCCTCTCTCTTTTTCTCTCTCTCTCTCTCTCTCTCTCTCTCTCTCTCTCTCTCTCTCTCTCTCTCTCTCTCTCTCTCTCTCTCTCTCTCTCTTTTTCCCACTCTCTCTCTCTCCCCGACATTCTTCGCGATTCCTTCTTCCGTTAACTTATCAACTTATATTGAGGGTGGTGATAAAAGGATGTAAATGATCAATATTCCAAGAATGCTATTAAAATGTATCGAGTTACATTATGTTTTGCCTGCACTGTCGACTACCCGTTATTCATCACATTCTTCTATAATAAATTCAGACTATCTTAGTCACGAATTGTACCACTTTCCTGAAGGATTATCCCTTAGAAATTAAATGCAAAATTGGATCAAAGTTAACATCACTTTACTTGTAGATTTTCATTTCACATAATCAATTCTGTAGCTTCTATTTCTTCCTTTTTAATGTTTTGAATTATTTTAAGTCTTCTTTGAAATAAAAAGATCAGAACGTTCATGTAAATTGGTCTTTCGGTCTTCAGTTAGGCAGTGTTGTTGACAAAGTTAAGGAAATTTGCTACAAGTCACAAAGAACAGAAACAAATTTAAAAAGAACAAAACAAATATACGTTTATCTGTCCCAGAAGGGCACTTTGGTTTACAAAGGCAAACATACATACACATACATTTGTACATACATAATTATACGTACAATTACACAATGTTGTTATATCTATACAAATACGAACAGTTTACAACCATGCCATTGTCGGTTGCAACTGTGCAGCGCCCTGTATTTTGAGCTAGGGTTGTGTTCTTGCTCAAGGACACACACCAGTGACCATCCATCTGATCTCTGTGTCACCGACACTTGCTTGACATTACTTGAGTCTAAACTCACTACTTACTTTGCCACTGGAGCACCAGGAGAAATGTAGATTCTACATCCCATCTTTGTTAAGGCTATAACAAATGAAACACCTTAGACTTATTACTTTAGTTACCAATAAAAAGTAGAACGATTCTTACAACTTTAAAATGCAATAATATTATTGACATTGTGCATCTGACCCTGGTGCGCAACTTTTCTAATTATTTCTTGTCAGTATAAACATGGCACCTTTTTGTTTTATCTGTCCGTCGGCTTTCTGCAGGAGGAAAGCGGTCATCATATGTGATCCTCTCGTAGACGGCCATTATGATATATGGGGAAAAAACGCAAAGGGATGGGGAGGGTCGTTTTGTACAGATTATTGTCTTGGAAATGTGGCCTTTAGAACAAGTTCAATTGTGAGCTGACCAAACCCCCAGCGTCGCCTTCCACTTGTTAGGAATCCGGACTTGACCATAGACCACGCTGGAGACCGACAAAATGGGTAAAAGTGGAGTCTTACCATGGACTTTGTGAGACCATAATGGTTAATAGCGCAATGCAAGACTTTGTGTTAAAATGTTTTTGTGATTCCAGAGTTTGGGCAGATCGGCTGGATGCACTGAGTTGTGGAGATGAGGCCGGGGCATGGATCAGTCAGTACCTTGGGGAAAACGGTCTGCAGCTGTTGGTGCTTCTGCCAGGCATGGCCACGAGACCAGCTCGTTCTGCACTTGCTAACTCAGCTGACAAGGTGAACATTCTGAATGCGATTTTCGTAATGACGAAGCCGATGTTAATGTTGATCTTGTTGCTAATCTTTCTGTTTTTTTTTTTTTTAATACACATTCTTGTTGCTTTTAATGATGCTGCTGTTGCCATTATTGCTGTTGTTAATTTCGAGGGTTTTGTATGTTATAGTTGTTCTCTCTTACAATACAAGCTTATATATAGAGTTGTGTAGGGTTACGGAGTGCTGGCGGAGGAGGGTGTTTGTTTTGTTTTGTGTGTGGGGGGGGGTGAGGGGTTGGTGTTCCGATGTGTTTTGCTTTGCTTTGTTGGGGGGGGGTTGTTGTTTGTTTGGTTTGTTATTTTATTGTTTTTTTGTAGTGTTTTGTTTTTAGGGGGGGGTGGACTGTGAAGTTGAAGTTTCTACAGATGTCTTTTGTATTCCCTCTATCTTTGCAATTGGATTTTCTTTCTTACGATGGAAGGAAAAGATTTTCTTCAAATACCTACCAATGTGCATGATAATTAACTGATGCATGAATGCTCGGGTTCAAACAAAACTGTATACTGTCCGTGTTATTTTCCCCTGTTTTCGCTTTTTTTTGTACTGACGATCGTATTAGGAATTTATTGGATACAATTACTTGTTACACCTACCTCGACTCAGTTCAGATAATTTAGGAGGCACATTGTTTGGACCCAGCGTTTCATTTCCAGCTCGGGCAGAAAGAGATTCAGCACGCTAATCAAAAGACGGAGGATATTCGATCAAAATGGTCTTCTCCATGGAGTACCAACCTCTTGTCCTTGTGTAAAACAGCTAAAATCCTTACCAGTGCACCACAGGCTTTTTTTATGCAGTCATTAAAGTTGAGGACAAACGGGCAGGGCAACTTACTTAAAAAGCTGAACGACGGTTGTCACGGAGAGATCATGGTGACATGGCTTTTTAGAGCATCCAAGCAGAGGAAGGGATGACAAACAATAATGTACAATGTCTGTTGCAGACCTGGCACTTGTTGATGACGATACAATTGTTACGTCCTTAATCAAGTCATGAAACAAAATAGAAATTACGTTCTATTGTTGTTTTGCAGGTGGGTTTCCCTGACAAGTGTCCGTACCATCTGGCCACGGAGGAGTCACTGAATGACCTCAACTCCAGGATCAGCTCGCCGGAAGGTCCAATATCGTTCGGGAATTTTCGACCCAACATCGTCATTAAGGGGACACATCAACCTTGGGACGAGGTTAGTTTACGGAGTAGGAGAAAGTGTTTCGGGATAAAAGGGATGGTGGGTGGGTGGATTGTAGAAACGTGCATTTGAGTGTGTGTGTGTGTGTGTGTGTGTG